CCTCAGCTACCATACCAAGGTCTTACTGTGTGTCAGGGACTCTGCCAAGTGCTCTGCATTTATTATCTCATTTAAGCCTCACAACAGCACTAGGAGGTAAATGCTATTATTATGCCCCATTCTACAGATGAGGAAACTGAGGCATGGGGAGGCTGGGTGATCCACCCAACGTCTTACAGCCCCCCTCTTATTTTGGAACCCTCCCCTTGCCCCCAGCAGCCCAGTCCATTCCTCCCACTGACGCCCTATCAGGGCAGGAGGCGTGGTGCAGGGCTGTGTAGAAGCTCAGCTCGTGCACAGCCCTCTCCCTGGTGGTGGTGGAGGTCTCCCCATGGGAGCTGTTCACTTGGGTCAATGCAGCCTCCGCTCTGAAGACGGTCTTGCTCTGCCTGCTCCCTCTCCAGCCCTCCAGTGCTCAGCGCATTCACAGCTCCAGCACTCCAACCTCACCCCGTGACCTCCAGTCCCCTCCCCATCCAGGCCAACTTCCTCCAGATGTGCTCTGGGTTTAGCAAGGCCCTGCCAGGATTGCACTGTGTCTCCTACCCCCAAATAACGGCACCATCTCTGCCTGTACTCGGTCTCGGGGACAGAAGGCCTCCATTTGTGCCATTTATGTGTGGGGGGTGGTGGTTAGGGCAGTTTCTCTAGCAGGGCCCAGGGAAGATGCAAATATGTGACCCCAAAGTGGTAGTGCTTGCACTAACCACAGTGGGCGGCCAAGCCTGTAGGATGGAAGAGATCCCTGAGGGAAGGGATAGGTCAGTTGGGATGGCCGGAAAAATCGAGAGGCCTTTGAGCACGGAGGCTCAAAAGAGCAGAGCCTCCAGTGGTCTGGGGAGCTGTAGGAAGAGTGACCACAGGCCCTCACAGCTGTGCCTCATGCCACTGATACATTTCAGAGCAGGCAGGGGCAGGGCCCTTGGAGATTGCCTAGCCATCCATTCCCTTATTGGACAGGTGGGAAACTGCAGTCCAGAGAGGGCACAGACACCCCTAAGGACACACAGCGTATCAGGTGAGAAGGTCTATTTTCCTCTCTGGGCTCCCTGCGGGACTGCGAGCTCCTCCTGTGGCAGGTCAGTTTCTTGGCCAGCTCTGTCTCCTTGGGGTCTGAGAGACTCAGAGGGCAGTGTGTGGCTGTGTGCTTCTTAAGAGGCCTCTCATCAAGTCCCTTTCTGGGGAAACTGGCCTAGGATGAGTCACTGGCTCTCCGTTCCCCCTGGGGTTTGCCCAGAGACTGACCATGTGGGAGCAAGTTCACTGCCCAAATTTCCCCTTTTCCGTAAACAGCAGCCACTTCCTCCTGGGCTGGCCACTTCCTTCTGGTCACTGAGGGGGCAGGGGCTCACATGGGCATGCAGGGCAGACCCTCTGGCACCAAGCACACCCATTTTAGACACAGGGGAGGTACATACTCTGTGTAAAGCTGGCCCCCTGACCACAGGACTGTGACATTTAATCTAAGAGACCTTAGGAACTGCAAAATGTCAACAAGTCATTTAAGAAGTGTTCCAAGGAATTAGGAGCCACCAGAGGCAGCCCCAGAATTTCCATGTAGCAGGGCCTTGAGGGGAATGATCTGGTTAGAGAAGGGGGGAAACTGAAGCTGCATTTGTTTACCATTTTACATCAACTATAAAAATTATCCAAATTGAAGATGGGGGAGGTGCTAAGAGAGACGAGCTGAAGTCCCGTCCTCTAGCCCCCTTCAGCTCATGGGGATGAGAGGCCATTCGACGCAAGGTTTGCTCATGAAATAACCAGCATCCCAGAGTGGCCCTGAGAGACGTGGCAGGGCAGGGGGACCTGGGAGAGGTCTGGAGGGCCGAGAGGGTTTCGGGATTGGTCCTGGAGGCCCGACAGAGCCCTGGAAGGCTTGGGCCACTTCCACTGGGCTCAGCCTGCCGGCCAGGTGGGCAGAGACTCAAGGCCTCCAGGGCCCCTGCTGAGGTGCTGCTGCGGGCTTTGAGGCCTCTGTGCTCTGCCCCTCTAGCTGGGGTCTCAGGGCTTGTGGCTGAGCAGCCTCCTCAGAGGGCCACATTCTGGTCCAGGCCAGAGCCAGGCAAGGGCCAGGCCAGTTTATCCCTTAGATCCTAGGCCCAGTGCTTGGGCCCACCAGCTTTCAAAGGGCCTATGAAATGTTTGTAGCCTAAGAAAAATATATTGACTCCAAAACCTGAGAAAAAGAGTAAAATCAAAATTAATAAACATTTAATTGAATGTCTGGAAAGTGTAACATTATGTCAACTTCGCAGTAATCATAAAAATGTCATTCCCTTTAAAAACAATTTGTAGTTCGGGTTTTTCTTACTCAGCCAGGATTCCTGCATAGACACGATGATTGCCAGGAGGTTGTAGCCAATTGTAAATTAAAATGAATTCCTCATAGTCAGATAATATCAAGAGCATAATTATAGAAATTCCTTCAAACACTTTTAGAAAATTACATATATGTTTACTATGGGATGTGGGCAATTTTAATGTTTGATGTGATGTGGAGTGTGGCCTGCAAAAGGAAGAGGGCAAAGGCGTGCAAGCATGTTAAAATGGCCCCACTCCTCTGCCGTGGGTGACCGGGGAGGCAGTGGAGGCTCAAGGACAGGAGGGTCAGGCTTGAGGCCCATCTTGCCCGCTGAGAAGCACAGACATCTGCTGCAGGAGGGACTGTAGATGTTTCCTGTCCAGTACCACCTGCCATGCCCCGGTCAGCCAGCCCAGACTCTTGCCCCAGGGAGGAGGCTCACTCCCTCTGCCTGTGAAGGATGACTTCCTCACGTCTAGCAGATATCTGCCTCCACACGGTACCCTACAAGGCTTAGTTCACGTCTCCAGGACTACAGGGCACGGCCACCCACACTTTCTCACAACTCACTGATAGAGCAGAGGACAGAGATGGGCTGTTCCCTGCCCCTACCCTGCAGCGTCCCAGTACTATAGCTGTACAGACCCAGTTCTCCCAGCTCTTCCCCTTTCCATAGGATTCGCAGTCACACCCCACCCAGGCTGCTGCCCCACAAGCCAATTAGTCACAGCCCCTCTTACCCGTAGGGTGAGGCGCAAATTGAATTCCATTCCCTCACTGCCCACAGCGGCCCACCCCACTCCTGCAGTGCATTCTCTGGCCTCCCACATGTGGGGCCTGGTCTGACTGCTAGATCTCCCTTTTTGGAAGCTTCTGAGGAGGGCATCAGTGTTAACTGTACAAGAATAACAATAATAATAATAGCTGATGCGTATTGAGTGCTTACCATATGCTAGGCACTGTGCTAAGCACTTTCACATGCATTTCTCATGTAACCCTTACAAGAACAATGGTATGAGGTAGCTACTTGTATTATCCCCATTTTATAGATGAAGAGACTGAGGCTCAGAGAGGTTAAATATCTTGCCCAAGGTCACACCTCTGGTTAGTGGCAGAGCTAGGAGACAAATCTCATGAGTCTGGCTCCAGAGCCCAGCTTTTAATACTGCGCAGTATCATGCTCAAAGAGAACTGAAGGGCATTAAGGTGGAGGCACACTTGATGGGCCCCTTGATGAACACCTTGGTTCACCCTTGATGAAAACACCTGGAAGCTAACACGGCTGGCTGGTGGGGTGAGGCCCTGGGACCTCACCCTTCCTACCTGTGTGGTTCCAGGCAGACAGTCTAATTTGGTGTCCCTGTCCATCTCAGAAAGCCTGATTTCTACCTGTGTCTATTAGTGTGTCTTGTAAAAACATGCAAAACGAAGAAGGTGAGATATTTGTCGTGATCTAGCCCTTTCACAAAGGTAGGTACAACCACCATTTGCCTTTGCGAGCTTTTGTACTTGCTGTCACCTCTGCCTGGAATGTTTCCCCCCTCGGATCTTTGCAGGCTTGTTCCCTCACATCATCCAGGTCTCTGCTCCAGGCAACCTCCTCAGAGGGGCTTCCTGTACTTGTGGAACAGCTTGCCACCCCTGCCCTCTATCACCCCGTCCTCTTACTTTATTGTGAAACAATAGTAATTGACTCTTGAAGTAATTGTGAGAGTTCAAATGAATTAATTTATAAAGCACTGGCAAGTAATAAGTGCTATTTAAGTGGTAATCCTTATTTAAATCTCATCACAGCATTTATATAACAGTATATATTTATCTGCTTGTGTGTGTGTGTGTGTGTGTGTGTGTCTGTGGGTGTTATCTCTCTCTCACTAGAATATCATCTCCATGAGGAAGGGAAATGATTGGCTCGTTCACTGCTGTATCCTTCAGGGTCTGGAACTGTACCTGACACACAGAAGGCGCTCAATAAACATTTGTTGAATTCAGTGAAGGAACTGAAGAGGTGGGAAATACTTACACTTTCATTCATGCATTCTGCAAATATTTACTGAGCGCCCACTCCGCGCAGGGCAATAGGCTCTCTCATTTTCGTATTAGCCCGTGATTTTCGCAGGGCAGAGATTTAAAAATAAAGTTTTGTATTGAGGTATAATTTACATACAATGAAATGCAGTTTTAAGGGGACACTCTGATGGATTTTGAGAAATGCACACTCCCGTGTAACCCAAACTCCTGTAAAGAAATAGAACAATGTTTCACCCTGGCAGCGCAGGGTTCTGAGCCTCATGTTACACGAAGGCAATGAGGCGCAGGAGCGACCCGCCCAGACCTCACCTCTGAGACGC